TGTGTAGAGCATGACTAATGTGCTTGTAATGTAGTTCAATCTCTTGCTCCCACGCGACCCGGCACAGCCTTATTTTATCATTCCGGCCGCTAGATGGCGCTCATGACATACATAGCCCTATGTACATACATACACGTATATACACACGTACACACTTATGTATGTATGCCAAAGCGAGAGATGCTGCTGCCTGGCCCGGCTGCCTGCCGAAACAACCACTAGAAAAAGCTGTACCGAAAAATCAACCAACACCCAACTACCCCCACTGTGCGCGCACTCACGCACACAGTTTGTAAAATTACACACAGACGAACGCACACGACGAAGAGGAGGAGTTGGAAAATTTCCAATTGCCGCTTTTTGAATTTGGCATATTCCAGTGTCAAAGCGGCCGTTGCTGCTGCCTTTGCCGCCACCATCCAGTATGTTCACGTACAATATGCATGCGCCGTTAACCGTTACAAAAAAGTGACAGTTATGTCCGGCACATTTTGAGTAACCACTCGCATGTGTGTGCATGTGTGCGTGTGCATATTATTTCTAATTAGAAATTGTCCACAACAAAAGCGAACATTCATATCAGGGCGTAGCATATTTCATGCTTTGGCGCGGAGGGCAACAAACAGGGCAAACTAGCAGGCAGGGTGTGGTTGCACACACATACACACACACACATACACACACACACACACACGCATAGACACAAGGCGAATACAGTAAGAGACAGAGGTAGAGAGAGAGAGAGAGTGCGTCAGAGGGCGAGAGAGCAAAGAGATTATACTTTCCAGCAGCAGCAGCAGAAGCATCGTCGTTGCCCAGGCTGAAAAGGGTGGAGTCCGAGTCGTCGTCGCCGTCGACACATTTAATTCCAATGATCCACAAAAAGGCTGCCTCAAAAATATGGAAGAAGCTGCCCCAACCCAAACCCTGCCCCAAACGACGCGCGCATAACTGTTGTTGTTGCAGCATAAGCTGAGGGCAGCGACTGCGTTTGCCGGCGACGCATTGTCGCTACACAATGCAAATGTTTATTTTTTATTAAATCATTATGCCAATTAAGCGGCGACGGGGCTCAATTTTGGCGCAGTGTAGTGTGTGTGTAGAGTTTTTGCATTGGCAACAACAATTGGATGCATGTTAAAAAGACACGACAAAAGTGAACAAGAACAAGAACAGGGCAGCAACAACAACAACAATAACAGCCGACCAACACGCCATGCAATTATGCAGTATGCGTATATGTATATGTGTCTGTTTGTATGCGTGTAAGTGAGTAAGTTGGAAATCCACACCCTGCTTAAAGCACAAAGAGCGAAGTTTTACCAGAGAGAGTGAGAGGTGAAGATAGAAGGAGAGAGAAAGAAGCTAGAGCATGCGAGCGAGCGAGTGAACAGTAACAAAGGCAGTGACTGTCGCCGCAGCCGTTGCAGTTATTGCATATGTATGCGCGCTCTTTGTTTTAACGCAAATATGCGGCTATTAATTAAAATATATATAAAAAAAAAACACACACACACACATACAAGAACAACAATAACAACAACGAGTAACGTTTGACTGCATTTGTCGTTGGCATTTTATAAAAGAAATACTACAAATAAAATGCAAAACTCCACTTCCCCTTGACACGCACACACACATGCCAGCTACTGCTGCACACACTCGCACGTACAGTTGTACTCGGAGAGTTGCCAGACCGTGCCGACGCGTCAACACTTTGTGTTGGCAATATGGCAAGGCGCGCGCGAACATTTGAATAATTGTGAATTGGAAAAACGGATGTGTTTGTGTTGGCTTTTGCGCCGCAATTTCAACAAATGAATTGAAAATGGAAATTTATGCACGCACAACCACAGCAGCAACAACAGCAGCAATGGCAACAGTAGTGCATATATTGAAAAAGTGAATTAATTGCACAATATACATGCATAAATACGCTTACGAATGGCGGTCACATTGGAATGCCAATGGAATGCTATGCGGGCGGCACTAAGCAGAAGCAGCCGCGCCTACTTGAATGCGCTCGCTGCTGCTGCTGCTGCTATTGCTATTGTTGTTGTTGTTGTTTTAGCTGGCGTTGTTAATGATTTCGACACGCTTGTGGTGTGAAAAAATATGCGTTTGGTTTATCATCCGTCTCCTGCTGCTGCTGCATTTGTTTATTTTTGGGCAAGGCAAAATGTGCGCCTGCCTCTTAATGTATACAAAATGCAGCAATGCGTTTACAATAACAACAACGACAACAACAGTGGAAAGGGTCAGAGGATGGGGGCGCCGCATTTAACTAAAGAGATGTCGATTTCATGAAACGCGCCCTTTTTCATCAGCATGATTAATGAAAATGTCAAAGGTCCGCGTTTCATTCCATTTCAGTTTGTTGAACTCTACACACAAGCTCTTATCACAAAGCGGAACAAAATGGAAAGTGCGCTGCGACTGCGTACACATTGCACGCACACATGCACACATGCATACATATGTATATGTGACGCACTGTCAATCATAATTGCCTGAGCTAAGGCGAAGGCAACGGCGACGGCAGCTGCCACTACTTTCCAATGCAGCCCAAATGACGAGCGATAAATCAATTCAATGAGCCGCAGTTGCGGCAGTAGCGCAGCATATGGCAAAAGCTGCTGGCGCATTATCAGCTTATGGGAAGGGAATTTCATCTCGCGCGCCCAACTACTTGAGCATCAATTAACATTCTTACAGCTCGCACACACTCATGAATCGACCCCTATACCCACCCCTCCGCCACTCTATCACTCGCCCTCTCGCTACTTGACGGACCCCCGCGCACTCATTAAGCCATGTAATTAATAAGATTAAAAAAATAAAAAAAATCAACAATTGCGCCGTCGACGTTGCTTCTGCTGCCGCCTAGGGCCGCACCCATTTTTTTTTTTCGTATTAGTCTATATGAAGGAAAATATATGCAAAACGCATCGCGCGCGCTCCTAAAGCTTTGAAACTTTTGGAGCGTCGCGAGCGCTGTTAATGGACAGGGGGATAGACAGCATGGACGATGTACAGCGGACAGTGGACAGTGGGCACAATTATTTGTCTAGCTGGGCTACTTAAAGATAAGGCGCAGTAATCGGAGTGGGGTAAGCTGAGCAGCAGCAGCAATAATTTTTTTTATTAAAAGCAATTACAAAACGGGCACAAAACGGGGCTTGGAATTTTTGTGCAAGGCAAAGACAGAGACTGAAAGAAAGAAAAAAAAAAAAAAACAACTAAATGAAGCAGAGCGCTGCAGCTGCAGCCAGCAGCAACAAAGACAAAGACCGGAGCATTAAAATGGGAGCCGTTTCTGCTGTGAGAGCAAGAGCACAAATGAGAGAGAGAGTGAGAGCGAGCTCGAGTGCCAAGTGCAAAATTTGAAGCACAACTTCGCATTAGGGAAGGGTGAGGGAGTGAGTTGTGTCTCCGCATATGTGTGTGTATATGTATGTGAGTGTCAGTGGAGTATAAAGCACAACTTGAGAGAGAGAGTAGCGGCGAGACGTTGACAACGAAACGGCAGCTAGGCAGAGGCCAGGCACAGCGCAGCGCAGCGGCGTCGGCGCACACACAAATTTTATGTATACGCTGTTTTATGTAGACGCACACACACACACGAACATATACACATGAACAGACAGGAATAAAATCCAGCAGCAGCAGCAACAACAAAACGCCTGGCCTGGCCTGGCTCGCTACAGGTTCAAATATGAGTACACACACACATACAGCCACGCATTGGAAGTCTGCCTGTATGCGTATATGTGTGTGTGTTGTTTGCCGGGATAGAAAGAAAAGGCAATGCTAAATGTATCCCTTTTCAGCGTATGCTGGTCTATAGGGCGCGGTGCGCGGGCAGGTCACAGGCTTAGCACACAATCATGGCGGTTTTTATGTATGTGTGTGCGTGTGCCTGTGCCTGCGCCTGCATATGTGTGTAGAAAAAATCTCTACCGCAAAAATACATGTGTGTATGGAAAAAAAATTTATGATGAAAAACCCGCCAGGGAAATGGGAAATCATGTTAAATTTTAAATATGTTAGCGAAATGTATATATATAGAAATTATGATGCTGGAATGGAATATGGGAATATGGGAAAGTAACCTACCTCGTACTTGAGCCCCACCAGACGCAACCAAGTCTCCACTTTCAGGCAATACGGCGAGAGAGACGGCAGCAGGGGAGTGCGTGAAAATTGATACAGATAAATGATGTCCTTCTCAAAATTGGTCTTGTGCACGTTGAACTTTTGTGCTGGCGCTTCGGATTTGGCTGGGGCAGCGACGGCGGCAGCATCGCCACCATCTTTCTTCGCATCGGCAGCGGCGGCTCCATCGGCAGCACCAGCGGCTGGCGACGCCTTCGCATCCTCTTTGTTGTTGTCTTGGGCGTTAGCGGCGGCCGCGTTCTCAGCGACGGCAGCGGCAGCGGCGACAGGCTCGGCAGCAGGTTTTTCCGCCTGCTCGGCAGCAGCGTTCTCTGTTGTTGCTGCTGCTGCGGCTACTGCAGGCGTTTCCTCGGCGGGTATTTGAGCTACTTCGGTTGCCATTTTCTTTCTTTTTTTTTCTTATTTATTAATCTTTAAATTTCTTCTTCAAATCGAAGTTGCGCTTTCTTTCAAAAATCTTCACACTTTTCCTTGTTCAAATGCACGCACACACATACACATTCACGGATACGGGGCACGAGCACATACACAGGAGAGACAGAAAGAGAGACGAAGTCGCAGTCGCAGTCGCAGTCGAAGAGTCAAACCACCACTACAGACAGTTTTTCAAAAAATGCACCACACAATTTGCGCACAATTAAAAGTTACCGCACCAACCAGACGCAACCGCTCACAAAACAAAACTGAACGGTAAATTTCCATTTCAATATTTTCCAGCCATGGTAACATTCTTGCAGTGTTGCTCAGATAAATCTATCGGTTTATTTCTGTTAGCTCAGTTAGCACTGTTGTTAACAGCACACACAACACACTTTCCAGCACTTGTTCATAGTTTTCACAAACAAAGCGCGTCAGTGCGACTGTTCTCGACTTAAATTTATTAAAAAAGTAATTTGCGCTAACTAATTGGGGCTTTCAACAATGGGCGCTGCATTGGGCCTTTGTTCAGCGGCGCAGGTGCGTATTTGCCAAGAAATATGATATCTGCTTGGCTTGTGAAAACAAATTGCGCATATGCCAAACAACTGCATTAAAATCGATTGTCAGTGCTGACAGCTGCTGCGGAATTCTAGCTGGAAAGTGAGACAGCAAAAGCCCGTACTCACAAATTGGATAAAAATAGCTAATGGCGACAAAATCGATGCTCAGTGCTGGCATTTTTGGTGGTACCTAGAATGTAATTAAATTTTCGATTCTTGTGTCTTCTTCCAGTGTGCGCTCTGCTGCACGGGCACGGCTGCCAGCATGTGCTGCTCTGCCTGCCCCACCTGCAAGAACTCCTCTTCATCCCGTTTCATGTACGCCTTCATGTTGCTCGTAGGCACAATTCTTGGTGCCATTGCCCTCTCACCTGGCCTGCAGGACACACTGAAGAAGCTACCCTTTTGCGTCAACTCCACCTCGACAATCAGCTCCAAGACTATAGGCACCTTATCGGGCGGATCTTTGCAACTGGACTGTGAATATGCTCTGGGCTATATGGCTGTCTATCGGCTCTGCTTCGGTCTCGCCTGCTTCTTCACTCTGATGGCCGTCATTATGTTGGGCGTGAAGAGCTCCAGGGATCCGCGTTCGCACATCCAAAACGAATTTTGGCCTTTGAAGTTTTTGATTTGCTTTGGCGCCTCGATTGCGGCCATCTTCATACCAGATGGATCCTTCGGACCGGCCATGATGTGGGTGGGCTTGATTGGCGGACTGGCCTTCATACTCGTCCAGTTGGTTATCATCGTGGACTTTGCCCATAGCGTGGCTGAGAATTGGATCGGTAAGCGAACTGGCTGAACTGAGGCTTGATTGAGGGATTGATGAGTGAACATATGGAAGACGTTTAGGGCGTTGTTTGAGTTAGTTGCATGGGTGTGGCCAGTCATTGATGAGGTGTAAATGGTACGGAATATAATTCAAACTCTTTGATTGATTGCTAATTGATGATAAGCATATGGAAGAGAATGAGTAAGACGCCTAATCCACATAGATCTAAGCATGATTGATTGACAGATGATAAGTAGACAGTACTCAGATTTGATTGGTTGACTGATTGATGACAGATTTAACTAAACATATGGAGAGTAACTTTCAAAGTTGATTGAGCAGAGATAAATGACACGTAACAAGGGTCTCAGGGCTGATGCTCTTCCACTTTATCCATTTTCTCCTCTCTAATTTATCTTTTTATTTACAGAGAATGCAGAGAACAATCGCGGCTATTATTATGCATTGGCAAGCGTCACTCTTCTCAGTTATATTGCTTCCCTCACTGGCATCACTTTGCTTTATATCTACTTTACCACAGTGCGTATATGAATTAATCACATATACTATATATACTAAAATAAACCTTTCTTTCTCTCTCTCTTCTAGTCGACTGGCTGCGGCATCAACAAGTTCTTCATCTCCATAAATCTAATACTCTGCTTGGTCATCAGCATTTTGTCGGTGTTGCCGGCTGTGCAGGAACGTTTGCCACATTCGGGTTTGTTGCAGAGCTCATTGGTTACCTTGTACACCGTCTACTTGACCTGGTCCGCTGTGGCCAATAATCCGGGTTGGTCTACTGATTGAAGCACTCCTATCTTTTCAAGTTTTTAATTGCTGTCATTTTGCTTACAGAGAAGGCCTGCAATCCGGGCATGTTTGGCTTGATGGATGAATTGCCCAATATTACCACAACCGTTGCACCTTCCCCCCACAACTCGAAGGTCACTTTCGATACCACTAATATTATTGGCTTAGTGGTTTGGTTGCTCTGCATCCTCTACAATTGCTTCAGCTCGGCCGTCAAGGTCTCCAACATCAACAATGACAACAGCGAGAAACGTGGTACGTTATTAGAACTCAGTGTGACCTTGCGAAAGATACTGCAGTGTGGAATATAGTATAATTATATATAGTCTGTGTACTTAGAGCTGAAATTGCTCAGATTTGTCTGTCTGTTTGCATATCTGCATGCAAGAGGTTTGTTAATCATTTGTTAACTTGTCTCTTGGTAACAGAAGATCGATATCATCTATGTACTTCAGTCAGAAGATCCACAGCATTCTATAATCAACATTCAGACAAAGCCTTATCAACTCCATATATAAAATATCTGTAATCTAATCACATATCCACTGCATATCTCTCAGCAAGGGCGTTTCGCAACTTCGGCTACGGCCGCCGTTTAAGTGTTTCCTTTGTTCTTCCGTCTCGCACATGGCACAGTTTCATAGTCTCTCTGTCCTACAGCTCCATAAGTCTTAATCCTAATCCACAGCTTCATTCACATTTCAATATCACATTTATTGTTGGCTAACTACTGAACTAACACATTTTTCTCTATTTTCAATTATTTTTATTGAACCACTCTTATTTTGCTGTATATACATATATATATATCTATATATATCAAACACTCCACTAACCAACGTTGATTTTGGGCCTTTGGGTTACGAAACTGTGCACCATATGCCGACAACCCCATATAACTAATATAGTTTTAACAGAAGCTCTATCAGACACAGAGACCGGAGCCGCTGGCGAGAAGGCCAACACGGACAACGAGACGGAGTCCGTCAGCTACAGCTGGTCCGCATTCCACACTGTCCTCGTTTGTGGTAAGCTCACGGATTACAAATTGATAGAGTATCTGATATATATATATGCCATATCTCTGCACAGCTTCCCTCTACGTCATGATGACCTTGACCAATTGGTATAAGCCCAATTCGGATATCGAGCTGATCAACGGCAATGAGGCTTCCATGTGGGTCAAAATCATATCCAGCTGGCTAGGCGTCTTTACCTATGGCTGGAGTCTTGTCGCACCCATTGTGCTCTCCAATCGCGACTTTAGCTAAACAGTATTGCCCCCAAATACATATATATATATACCTAACTATACTATATATATAAATAATATCAAGTAGGCGTGGTCTATTAAGGAAGTCCGGATAATGCCAAAATTGCAAAACGGAGCGGTGCTTAAGCAGATGGGTTTAAATGCTACGATTACTCATTTTATCTTAAATCTTAATCTTCACAAATATAACAATTATAATTATCTAGTCAAAATGTCTTTGTTGTCTATTGCTGCAGCTGCAGCTGCTTCTCTTTATCCAGGCTCTCCTGCAGACGCTGCAGGACCACATCCTTGCCCAGTATCTCCATCATTTCCGCGACGCCTGGCCCTTCCTGCAGTCCGCTCAGGGCACCGCGCAGAGTTTTCATTAGCGCGGGGAATTTTATGGACGCAGCTTTGGCAAAGCTTTTGAGGATCTCATTCAGCTGGTCCTTGCGAAAGTTGGACTCGGCTTGCAGTTGCCGCAGCAGCTGTTGCCATTGTGCCGGACTCAGTTCCTTGAGCACAACTTGAGCTGGCTTGACCCACAAGAAACTCAGCTTGCTGCTGGTTAAATCCTGCAGCAGATTCAAACGCTGCGCTGACCAATGGAGCACCGCCTCAATATGGGCTTCAGCTAGATCCAAGTGGGAGCTGTGTGGATGTGGAGAGAATTGAATAAGGAATATTTGACTGGCATTGCATAGAGAACTCACTGATCTGGATAAGCTTCTTGGATGAGCTGCTGCACATGTGCCACTAGCTGTTGCCGCTTGAGCGGATCAGCTAGACGTGCCTTCAGCTCCAGTTGATTGTAGTCATTGAGCAGCTCGGCATTCAGGCGACTGGGATGGGCATTGACGCGCTCCAAAACGAATTGCTCTGCGAGACTCTGCATGGAGTAGAGCTGAGGCTTGCTGTGGCTTCGATGCTCAAAGCCGCCGCCGGCGGAGATGATGTAGTTAAGCAACGCAGTGGGAAAGTAGCCGCGATCCCTGAACTGCTTGATGCCGATGTCGCCTTGGCGCTTGCTTAGCTTGCTGCCATCCGCGTTGACCAGCAGCGGCAGATGACCAAACTGAGGTGGCTGCCAGTCGAAGGCTCTAAGGAGTAGTAGAAGGGAGCTTGATTAGAAATAGGGAGCTCTAAGGAGTTGGACTCTTACTTGTAGAGCAGTAAATGCTTCGTCGTTGAGATTTGCCATTCCACGCCGCGCAACACATGCGTTATGCCCATCAGGTGATCATCCACCACATTGGCCAAATGGTACGTGGGATACAAATCGCTCTTCATGATAACAGGATCCCCTTCCGTTTCGCTCACATTGTGCTGGACGCTGCCATAGATGAGATCCTGGAGCGGCTCCTCGTGCGACGTCAGCTTAAAGCGTATGCAGTAGGGAGTTCCTTTGTCCAGATGTTGCTGCAGCTGCTCCGGCGTTAGGTGGCGGCACTTGTTGTCGTAACGCGGCACCTGACGGGTCCGCAGCGCATCCTTACGTAACAAATCCAAGCGACGTTCCGTGCAAAAGCAGCGATAGGCGCTGCCATTCTCTAGTAGGCGCTCCACAGCTTGGCTAGAAACATAAATGAAGCTGTTAATTGATGGATATGATATACATATATTGATATAGCCTTTAACCTGTACAGCTCCCTGCGCTGGCTTTGAATGTAAGGTCCATGTGCTCCTCCGAATCCCGGTCCCTCGTCTATTTCAATGCCTGCCCACAGCAGATCTTCAATCAGCCGCTCCGTGGCGCCAGGCACCAGCCGTGTTTGATCTGTATCCTCGATGCGGAGCAGGAATTTGCCGCCGGAATGCCGAGCAAATAAATAATTATATAGTGCAGTTCGTAGGCCACCTAAATGTAGGTAACCCGTGGGGCTTGGAGCAAAGCGTACGCGCACCTCGCTGTGACAGAGTCTGTGTGTGGAGCGGAAGCACTGCCTAAGAGTCATTACTCTTCGTAAACTAAACATTTTTAGTTAAAATAAACTAAAGCAAAAAATGCAAGTGTTTGTTTATATTTAAAGCGGCTCATCAGCTGATCGAGCTGCCAGATGTTTGTGCAGAATAAGAGATGACAGCGTGTCGTGAGTTCACGACTGACCCCCACCAGGCCTGGGCGACTGAAGAAATGCTGCAGCTGCTTCCCTTTATATAGGAAGACTTTCACTCTCACACTAAGTTGCACTCAAATGTTGAGAGCGGCACCAGGTAGTGATCGTTGCAGTCTGAGAGACAGAAAGCGAGACTCAGAGAGTCAGATATACACACAGCCACACGAACAGATACACACACATATGCCACCAATACTCATTTCCAATGGATCTAGCTTGAAAAAGGCTAAGCTCGCAGCACTGAATATGAGCTGCCTACTTGGACAGCTGACAGCGTTGCCACATCGCAAGCACTGACCACGCATGCATTTATCTTCTTCTTTTCCGCAGCTATTTCGCAAAGTGTGCAGCAAAACGCTAATAAATTAGTTTAAAATGGTTGGAACAACACTAAGTGCGGATGAGAAGAAAAAGCTCATTACGCGCAACCTGCAAGAGACGCTCGGCGATGACAAGCTAACAAAAATACTGCAGGAGCGGGATTTGAAGATCTACTGGGGCACTGCGACGACGGGAAAGCCACATGTCGCCTATTTTGTGCCCATGTCCAAGATTGCGGATTTCTTGAAAGCCGGTTGTGAGGTGACAATACTGTTTGCCGATCTGCACGCCTATTTGGACAACATGAAGGCGCCATGGCCGCTGCTTGAGCTGCGCACCAAATACTACGAGCAGGTGATCAAGGCGATGTTGCGTTCCATTGACGTTCCATTGGATAAGCTGAAGTTTGTAAAGGGCAGCGACTACCAGCTGTCCAAGGAGTACACGCTGGATGTGTACAAGCTAAGCTCTCTGGTCACCATTCACGATGCTAAGAAAGCCGGCGCTGAGGTAGTCAAACAGGTGGAATTCCCACTACTCTCCTGCTTGTTGTATCCCGGTCTGCAAGGCTTGGATGAGGAGTACTTAAAAGTGGATGCACAATTCGGTGGTGTGGATCAGCGCAAGATATTCACATTCTCCGAGAAGTATTTGCCACAACTTGGCTACGAGAAGCGTATACACTTTATGAATCCCATGGGTGAGTCAGGAGGATGATTCACCAGTAGAGAATTTCTTAACTTATTCAATTCTGCTTGGCAGTGCCTGGCCTGGCTGGTGGCAAGATGTCTTCCTCCGAGGAGGACTCGAAGATAGATCTCCTCGACTCGCCGGCTAATGTGAAGAAGAAGTTGAAGAAGGCCTTCTGCGAGCCGGGCAACATTGCAGACAATGGACTGCTCTCCTTTGTCAAGCACGTACTCTTCTCGCTCTTCAAGGAAGGCGAAGGCTTTGAGATCAATCGAGCTGCGGACAATGGCGGCGATATTACCTTCTACCAGTATTCGGAGCTGGAGCAATACTATGCAGACAATAAGCTGCATCCGGGCGATCTGAAGGCCTCCGTGGAGAAGTATATAAATCGATTACTGGATCCCATACGCAAGACCTTTGAGGAGCCCGAGCTGAAGTGAGTGACTCTGTAGACATTATTCGGATATAGTTTTATATTGTATTTGCTCTTTGTAGAAAACTAACAGCTGCTGCCTATCCGCCACCCGCCAAGGTGAAAGGTAATGCTGCGCCCGCCGCTGCAGGCTCTGAGGAGGATGGCCCACATCGTTTGGACATTCGAGTAGGCAAAGTCATCGAGGTGGCTCTGCATCCAGATGCAGACACACTCTATGTACTCAAAATAGATCTGGCAGAGGCGCAGCCACGCACCATTATTAGCGGCCTGGTCAAGTTTGTGACTGTGGAGGAACTGGATCAGCGACTGGTTGCAGTCCTCTGCAATCTGAAGCCTTCCAAAATGCGCGGCATTTTGTCCGAGGGCATGGTGCTCTGCACCTCCAAGTAAGCTTAGCTGAACAGCTGAGTAGTACGCCCTTCTAAACTCCAACTTTTGATTACAGCGCCGATCACACAGTTGTGGAGCCCATTGTGTTGCCAGCAGCAGCTAAGCCTGGCAGTCGACTCTCCTTTGAGGGTTACAGCGGCACACCCGATGAGCAGTTGAATCCCAAGAAAAAGGTTTGGGAGAAACTCTCTGTCGACTTCAAAACGAATGCCGAAGGCGTTGCTGTTTGGAAGGACAATTTCCTGCTTACAACCGAGGGTGAGCAATTGACCAGCAAATTGGCCAATTGCTCCATTAAGTAAACCAATCACCCAGCTTACCTGAGCCGTGTAATACTGTTAAACACTTAGCTAAGCCGACAATTTACACATGAACACTATCGAAATGCATTTTTCAAATTTGCTTTTATTGAGTTTTAAAAAATATATGATGCTTAAATACAATTTTGGCCAAGAAAATATACTTTCAAACTTGTTATTTGGCGGCAATGCAAGAGCAGCTGATAAAATTTACTCAACGGCAAACGTACTCAATCGTGGCATCGATAACAAAAGAAATTGTTGAAGTATTTTACAACATAAAGCTATTTAATGATGAATAAACAAGTAATATAGCATTGTGAGATAAAGCTACCAATAAAACCCTTTCATAATATTGTTTGTAATAATTTATTTTGTTTATTAAATTAATATTTGAATTTCAATTTGAGTATTTTTGAGGCGCCTCACGATGCTGATTGGCTAAACAGCTGTTAGAGCTTTTACAGCCGTGCCAATCTACTCGTTTTGCCTATCGGTGTTATCGATATTGCAGCGTAGTTGTTTTAAAAACTTAGTTCGGCAACAGGTAAATTTTATTTAGACGAAAATATGCCCGTGGTGGACATCAATGAGCTTGTGCTGCTGCAGAAACAACAGCAACAGGTGCGAAATATATGTATATTGGCGCACGTGGATCATGGCAAGACAACGCTGGCGGATTCCCTCGTGGCAAGCAATGGCATCATTTCACAACGCATGGCCGGTTTGTTGTTGTTGTGTTTGTTGCTCATTGTGTTTCCATTTCATGTGA